TGATACAGATTTCCTCATTAGATTGCAATTTACAAGCTCTAATTTTGATTCAATGTTTTGATTCAATTCCTATACATTTTGCTATTCAGCTATTATGTCAATTTTGAGAATTTCACTCTCTACTAATGCTTATTCATTAAAAGAACCAGCGTATGAGAGTAATTTCTTTCAGGGCTATACTGTCACACTATATGATTTGGATTCACTAAAAATAATCAGCTCACAAGAATCAATTGCTTCTGGAATCAGGTTACATTGGTCACGCTGTATGTTTTTAATTCTCTAAAAAGAACCGGCTTAAAAGAGTCACTTGATTTGGGAATCGGGCTACACTGATCATGCTGTATGCTTTTCATTCACTTAAAATAACTGGCTCACAAGAGTTATTTGTTTGTTGGGAATCAGGCTACACTGGTCACGCTGTATGTTTTTGATTCACTAAAAAGAACCTGCTATTAAGCGTTACTTATTTTGGGAATCGAGCTATATTGGTTATGCTGTATGTTTTTGAATCACTAAAAAATAACTGGTTCATAAGAGTCATTTGCTTGTGACTTGGGCTACACTGTTCATTGTTTTTCATTCATTTAAAATAACTGGCTCACAAGAGTAATTAATTGAATTGAATTTAATTGAATTATTTGTTTGCTGGGAATCAGGCTACACTGGTCACACTGTATGTTTTTGATCATAAGAGTCATTTAAAGTTGAGTGAGTTAAACTTTTACATAATTTTATACATGAATCACTTCAAACTACTTATGCTTCCTTAGAATGGTACTGTATGCTTCATCAAGAAGTTTATTTGAAAACTCCTCAAAATCCTAAGGTCTATTCTCTTTTTTCGTCTTCCTGAGGTGGTTAGACGTAGGTATAGCCCACCTAACCAGCGCCCCATGCTGGGTGATCTACCTGCGCGTTCTCCAGGATGCAGTGTGGCCCGGGGGGGAGCTGCCTGCGGTGCCTCGGCCAGAAAGGAGCCCAGAGCAGAGAGAGAAGACGAGACTCCAATGCCTGCACTGCCTCATGCAGCTGTTCCCAGGTCAGTTCATACCCAAAACATTACAGCCGCTTGAATGGAAGATCTTCAGAATGAATGAGCTGGATTGCCTTCATTCCCATTTAGACATATTTGACACAGTCACATTGTACCTACCGTTGTGCATCAAGAGCTTTCATTGCAAGCACTGACATGAAATTGTTGTTTGTGTTTTGTGTGAATTGTAGAGTTAATTACAGACATGCTTGGCTCTGAGAAATGCAGGCTGGTGTGGGAGCATGTGCTGAAATCTCTACAGGACCCCAGTATTAACAGGTTATATATTCTAAATCCATAAAATAATCTTCAATGATCTCTCTTGTTGCTATACTGTATAAACTACTGTATTGACAATTAACACTTGTGTTGTTTTGTATGGGGCCATTCAGGCACTTGGTTTACTGTATTTTTGACCTGCTGCTGGAGTTCCTTGTTCCAGAATTTTCTGAGGAGACGTTCCAGAGGTCTTTACTTCAGAGTCTCCCTGGGGATGTAGAGAGAACACCATCATCCGCCTAAAGACACCATGTTTCTTTTCTTCCCTCTTTCAAAACTAGTGCAGTGGTTTTGAGATGAGGACATTTGGATGTGTTTTTATCAGTCTGGCTTATCAGTTTGGCTGGCTTTGTAGATATCTGTTTTTGTCTCTCAGTTTCTATCTGACTTTCTAACTCGCTGTCTCTTTCAAATGGGTTCGGAGTAGAAGTTCAAAATAAGGTTTAAGGCACCATTTTGAACTTAAACTTACCCACAATGTGTGGTCTTTGAATACTGAATATTTTCTATTCAGACTAACTTTCAAGTGAACTTCATTTCACATCAAAGTCCTTGGAGACCACTCAAATAAGCTCTTGAATGTAATTGTAGTACATTCATAGAGTATGCACCTTATATGCACCTTATTCAGGACTTTTGTCAAACTACAAGTTATTTTCTGAAAGGCGTTTCATCAGCTGAACAATAGGTATGTTGTCAGGACAATCAATTGAATGCACTGCACTTCTATCTCTCACAGCCTCGATTTTATTACTGTCAAAAATTAAAAACAATGCTACCCTGACTAAGGTCAATTTAAATAGGAGAAAGGAAAGTAATATTCAATTTCAATTGAATGTTTTAAAGAAATTTATTTAAAATGTTGTTTATATTATCTTCTGAAATTCATGACAGTTCTACATAAAATACCCAAAAGAAAAACTAAATGCACCTGCTTATGTTCTTTTTTTAATCTCTCGTGTTCTTTCTCTGAGCCTTATTTTTTGTCCAAACCTCATACTGCAGTCGAATCTTTATAGATCATACTATTTTTATTTAT